CTCTGGGTAACCTATTCCAGTGTTTTAGTCTCCTCCTAGTGAGAGAATTCTTCCTGATTATCTAACCTAAATTTCCCTTGGTGCAACTTGAGACTGTTGCTCTTTGTTCTGTCATCTGCCACCACTGAGAACAGTCCAGCTCCATCCTCTTTCAACCCCCGCCCCCCCCCCCTTCAGGTAGTTGAAGACTGCTATTAAGTCTTCTCTGTCTCCTCTTTTCTAGACTAAATAAGCCCAGTTCCCCTAGCCTTTCCTAATAAGTCACGTCTTCCAGCCCCGTCACCACTTTTGTTGCCCTCCTCTGGACTCTCTCTCCAATTTGTCCACATCCTTTCTGTAGTGGGGGGCCCAAAACTGAACACAGTACTCCAGATGTGGCCTCACTGGTGCTGAATAGAAGGGAATAATTACTTCCCTTGACCTACCGGCAACACACCTACCAATGCAGCTCAGTATGCCATTAGCCTTCTTGGCAACTAGGGCATACTGCTGGCTCATATTCAGCTTATTGTCCATTGTAACCCTCAGGTCCTTTTCTGCAGAGCTGCTGCCCAGACAGTCAGCCCCCAGCTTATACTGTGTGCATGGGATTCTTCTGTCCTAAGTACAGGACTTTGCACTCATAGATTTCGTAGACATTAGGGCTGGATTTCAGGATGATTGAAGTCCCCCATGAGAGCCAGGGCCTGTGATTGGGGAAACTTCCACTAGCTGTTTGAAGAAAGCCTCATCCACCACTTCCTCCTGGTCTGGTGGTCTATACCACACACCCACCACAACATCACCCTTATTGCTCTCCCTTCTAACCCTAACCCAGAGACTCAGTAGGCCTGTCTCTAGTTTCATACTGGAGCTCTGCGTAATCATATGGCTCTTTTACATAAAGTGCAACTCCTCCTCCTCTCCTCCCCTGCCTGTCCTTCCTGAACAGTTTATACCCATCCATGACAATGCTCCAGTCATGCGAGCTCTCACCAAGTCTCTGTTATTCCAATCACATCATAGTACCATGACTGCAAGGACTTCCAATTCTTGTTGCTTGTTTCCCAGGCTTTGTGCATTTGTATACAGGCACCTGAGGTTAGGTATTTGATTGCCTTGATTTCTCAGGAAGTATGAGAACACATCCCTTGTTTTTCCCCCTCCTGCTTGCTCTTCCTCCAGGTCTCCTGCTTCCCCACTTACCTCATGGCTTTGGTCTCCATCTCCTGGTGAACCTAGTTTTAAAGCCCTCCTCACTAGGTTAGTGAGCCTGTTTGTGAAGACTCTCTTCCCTGTCTTTCCCAGGTGGATCCTATCTTTCCCCAGCAATCCTTCTTGGAACAACATCCCATGTTTGAAGAAGTCAAATCCCTGCTGGCAACACCACCTGTGCAGCCCAGTGTCAATCTGCAGGATACACCTCTCTTGCCTGGGCCCTTTTCCTTGACTGGAAGGATCAGTGAAAACACAACCTGAGCCCCAGCTGCCCTCTCCCTTGCACTCAGAGCCCTGTAGTCAATTTTGATATGCTCAGGGTCTCCCCTGACAGTATTATTGGTGCCCAAATGGATGAGCAGCATGGGGTAGTAGTCAGAGGGCTGGATGAGCCTCAGTAATCCCTCTGTGACATCTCGGATCTGGGCAAGCAGCAGACCTCCCAAGACAACATATCAGGCTGGCAGATGGCTCCCTCCATTCTCCTGTAGAAGGGAGTCTCTGACCACTTCCACCTGTTGCTTCTTCTTGGTAGCATTCATCTTGACCCTTCCCGTCTTCCACCAATGGAACATGCTCCTCCCTTTCTGCTGTTAGAGCTGCGTATCTGTTCTCCAGATAAATGACTGTAAGTGTAGATGAAGATCTCTGCTTGCTGCCAGAAGTTACAAGGCTCCAGCTTCCACCCTCTTGGGAGTCCATGTCCTCTCTATTCTCTAGTGCTGCATCTGGCACTTCTTCCTCCACAGTCCTAGAAGTCTCCTCGAGCATCAAATTGATGAACGCCTCATGGCTGAGGATGCTTCGGAGCTTCGCCACCTCCTCCTTGTAGTTCTCTTGCCTGTTCCCTGAGAGACACCACCAGGAGGCACCGCTCTCACCGCAGGCACTCCCGGACCTGGCCATCGCTGAAAGGAACTTACAAGTTGCAGTTCCCACAGCGCCAAACCAGGACCTGGGTGGAAGCTTCGATGGAGAGCAGTCCTGCCTGGACAGAAGCCTCACCGGTGCAAGCAGAAGCAATGGCAGTGGATCTGGCCCAGCCATTTTCCTGGGTCTCTTAATTTGCTTTTTCTCTCTTATTGCTCTTTCGAGCAGAGCTTCCCAAGTGAACTCTCCTGGAAGGGGCTTGTTTGTTGCTCCTGTCCCTGAAGGTTCTTCCCCCCCCCCCCATCCCCCTGCTTCCTCACGCCAAGCTGAAAGACTTGCCCCTCAAAAAAGGGGCAGGGTGCCCATGAATTGGCCTAGCTTGCGAACTGCATGCAAACTGCTTACCCTGTTTGCTGGCTCCGTAGGTCACTGTGTTTTATCTTGGGTGTTGGCTGTTAAAGACAGACTGCCCTACACAAGTCCATGAGATCCTGATACAGAGCAGGATGGCATCTCTTGGAAAGACTTGTTTTTCCAGAATGGAAAACATTCTAAATATAGGGTACAGATATGTACTGTCTATTCAGGTTACAGTGTCTCGGATCTTTGACTTTTTTGCTGCTTTGAAACATTCTAGCCTATTGTTCAGCTCCAGTAAGGTGTACCTTGTAGCAACCTCAGTTTGCTATCCACTTGCATAGTTAGTTATTTGATTTAATGATATCTAGATTGTTTGGTGACCTGTTACATACTAACCCACCAGTCCTAGAATGTTATTCTGCTTGGGCTCACAACATCATCTTGACTCATGAAGCCTTTTGAGCTGCTTTCACAAAATCTTTCTTGCTTCATCTCCCTCTTACACTTTTCTTAGTAGCTGTTGCATTGGCCAAGAGAATGATTTGAATTCCAAGTATGTATGAATGACCTTCCCTAGAAATATTTCCTAGAGATAAGTTGGTGTTGAAACCTCACTCTTAACTTTATCCATATGATGGTTTTGTAGTTTCATCTGAATCAGTTAATTTGCATGTCTTCCTCCCAAAGTCTTAATATAAATTGAAAAAAGTTGCACAGTTGACATTTTCCATATCTTTTACAGCTTCTGTAGGACTAAATGATTCAGAATTCCTTCCAGTTATTAGTGGGAATAGCTAGATGTTTCAAAGCTCAGATCATCTCATAAAGAGTAGCTAAATGGATAACGTAGTGTGGTACTAGTTGCTTTGTGGACCTCTGCCAGCAGATGCGGTTTACTACACCTGAGTTTTTAAGTCTTTGGCCCTTTTTAAGAAACTTGCAAAAGAGAAATCTGCAAAGCAGTAATGTGAAGTAACCTGCTAACCTTTTATCAAACATTACACCTTGGAGCTAGATGCCAAAGCAAATGCCAGGATTTAGAAAGGAAACAGCTGCTTCCTTTCTAAAACAGCTGTTCAAGTGCTACAGCTTATCTTCCTCATTCCATCATCAAGAGAAGATGAATTGCTTGCCTGTCACTTACAGTGGGGCTTCATACCCATGCATACTCTAAAGAAAAGAGTTTTTTCTTATAATAACTGTGGTTCTTTGAGATGTTCTCACATTATAGATTTCACAACTTGTAACCCATCCTGTCTTTTGGAATCCTCAGACTTCTAATTGTGAAGGAACTGAGGAGCATGTGGCACATGGGGCCAGTCCAGGCACACACACACCATGAGGGGCTGTTCTGCGGTATATGTGGCTTTTGGTACTTACACCAGCCCAGCCCTGCGTACTGGATCTGGTATGCATGGCCCGTATATGGGCCACAAATAGCTCAGTCCAGACCAACGCCAGATCCAGTGTACAGGGCCAGTCTGGTACAGCCGTCATTTTCACTGCAGATCCTAGAATGGCCTCCATGTTGTGCACAGCACACTGGCCCCAACTCTGCATGCTGCATATGGCACACAGGGCCAGTGTGGCATGGGCTGCACACATTTTGGCATCCTTGTGTTAGAAAATAGACAATAAAAATATAACACATGTGAAACAGGAGCCAAGCTCCTAACCATTTTTTTTCCATGCATTGTCATGAGATTTCTAGGCTTTGAATGCTAGTCTCTGCTAGGTTATTCAAAAGATGGTGGTTCTTTGCATCTTCTGTTTAAAATAATTATTGTGGGTATGTTGCTCATGGTTGGAAATACTTTCTTTTCTTCCTTCTAAAATTTAAGGAAGTTAAGGGAAGGATAGAAGAGTCAATATTATTGATAGTCAAATAAGATTGGAGTCGAACTGCTGTTATAAAAACACCATTCCATTAGAAAGGGGTGAAGGTTAGATTAGCATAAAAAATAAATAGGCATGCTGTAATGCTGCACACACTTTTCAGTCAATAGGACTGAAAGAATAACCTAATCTATATTGCTCATCTATTATCTTTAGAGTTTGTTTAAAAACAATTGGAAAAAAGTGTGAATACTCTTTCAAATGAATAATTCTAGAAGTTAGAGAGGGAAAAGACTATTTACATCAGAAATCTCAAGTGCTAAAACGGGTGCTCTTGACCTGTAAACTGATATTCAGTATAATATATTGTAAGCCTTTTTAATAGAGGATAAGCACTTAGAAGTATGTGAGATGATGCTTATATTTCTAATTTTGAAAGCAAATATGTGGAGGTTAGTACTTGAGCGTAGGGGATAACTTGACAAAATACAGAACGTTTACTTATATAAGAAAGTGTTTGAGGATGTCAAGTTTTATAACTTGCCTATATCTGCATTGCTAATTTGTCTTATAATGCCTCACACTTCCTTATTCTCATTGCATCAGGGAACAGACAAGTCAAGGTCAGGCAGGTGAAAACTGGTCCCTTGTTCTTAAATTGTTATTGATCATTAAGTTCTTTGCACTGTGTTTAATGAAAACATTTGGTTTTTTACCCCCCTCTTCCTCCCCTCCAGTTTAGAGAATTCTACAAACAGCGCAGATCCATCCAGCAACAAATTTGTTTTTGGACAGAACATGAGTGAGAGAGTGTTGGTGAGTACCTGTTGATTATGACATTTGGTATTTTTTTTGGATATTGTTTATGTTGATTCCTATTCACTGAGTATGAAAGCTTGTATGGAAATCTGGTCACCAGTATTGCTTAGAACTGCACTAGCGTTAAATGTCTTTGTAGCGGCACATAGGTGACTGACCTCCATTACCACTTGAGCTCAGATCCTCAGAGGTATTTAGGTGCCTGACTTAGTTGTTCCACTTGTTTCAGCAGACTGTCTTTCAAACCTTCTTCTTTGCATCTAACCAGCTGTCAGCAAAGTTTACTGGACACTGCTATAGTTTCATGTTTCAGGGCACATTCCCACCACCTTATTGGGAGTTTTTCTTAGTTGTGTGTTCAGCTGACCAGTTGGAGTTAAAGCCAGTCCTGGTTGAGGTAAGTGTAGTATTACACCCCAAAACCCCTATGTGGAAGCACGTATTCAGGAGTAAAGGGGCTTCAGTTTGCCTTCCTCATGAATGAAGGCATCTGCACATTTATTTATAGTGCCTTAAGTTGCATAGAATGAATTGATCTCAACTGTGTGAGTCCTTGCTTAGACGTGCCCTTTGGAAGCCATGACTGGCAAGTAGAACAGTCTTTCTCAGCAGGACCTGAGAAACTGGGGCTGCTACATGACATCCTGTTTTCTGGAGTGATCTATGAAAGTTACTATGGATTTGTGCATCAGAGGCCCAGTTCCTGACAAATGATCGTTAGCTAAGGTATCCAAATCCCTTAGTGATCAGGCAGGTCCTTTGCCACCAATACCAATGTGAGGGGGTTTTAGCCCCACTCTTCTGTACATCACTATTAATACCCAAAGACAAGCACTTCAGCTTGCATCTTATTCTGACCAGTAAGGAAGAATTGGTTGCAAATGTGAAGGTGATAGGAAACTTGAGACAAACTAACCATGATATGATAAAACTATATTACAGAAATACTGCTCAGGACAAGCGTATGCATCAAAACCAAAAAAGGTACCAAGTGGTCCCCCCCAAAAAAGCCCTGTGTAGCTTAATAGCAAAGTTGAGGAGGCTATCAATGGCAAAGACATCATACAAAAAAAAAAGAGAATGTCTCCAAATGAGGAAAACAGGGAAGCACGTGCACTCTGACAGATAAAACGTAAATATAAAAACTTAATAAGGTAAGCCGAAAAAGGATTTGAAGAGCATCTTGCAAAAGGCACTAAAGTTAACAATAAATTTTTTTTGCTACATCAGAAGCAGGAAGTCAGCCTGGTGCGACCATTAAATTACCAGGTGTAAAAAAAAAAAAAAAAAAAAAAAATGTGCTCAGAGATGATAGTGCCATAGCAGAGAAGCTAACTGAATTCTTTGCATCAGTCTTTACTGACTCCATAAGCAAATTCTGTGTGTGTGTGTGTGTGTGTGTGTGTGTGTGTGTGTAAAAAAAGAAAATTATTTTCTTTGTTTTAAACCTGCCTTCTGATGATGTAGGTAGATGCCCCTACTTCATTTTGAGACTTAAGATCGTAGAAAAGGAGGACTCATAAGGTCATCTAGTTGTCTCCTGCCTAAGACCAGGATCATCCCTGACTAAATCATACCAGTCAAGTGTCTGTCTAACCTGGTCCTGAAATTTCCCTTGATGGAGATTCTGCAACTTCTTTAAGACTGGACCGGTGCTTGACTACTCTGAGTCAAAAAGTTATTCCTAATCTCCACCCTCTGCTACAGTTTGAGGCGGCTGCTCATAGTTCTGTCCCTTACTGCTACAGAGGAAAGTCCATCTCCATCTGTTATAACTGTCCTTAAAGTATTTGAGGATTGTTATCAAATCCCCACTGTTGTCAACCCCCGCTTCTTCTTCATATTAAATAATCTTGGTACGTTCAGCCTTTCCTTATGAGCAGGGATCCTGGTTTTCTCTGTTGAAAAAAATCACAATTTCTGTGATTTACCCCCCCTCTCCCCTTGCCATCCATGTTTTTCAGTGATTTAAAATGAAGTGCCACACACACATGGTATCAGTTGAACAAAATGTTTTATTGATACATTTACAAGTTTTAAGCCGTTTGGTAGCCTACTAGTGCCTTGATCACTATAATAAAATAAATTCTAAAAACCTATAAATTTTGACACTTTGATTTTGGGTTTATCATGGAAAATCAGAGCTCCCTCTGCCCCGTCGCTCACGGGTACACACATCCAGCTGCAGCTGTTTCTCTCTTACTCTGTTGCCCGTGGGAGGCAGAGGCTGCTGTGGCCAGAGCAGAGTGCAGAGCCTGACTCCCCCTCCTTTGTGGGCAGCATGGCTGGAGCAGAGCCCATGGGGGAGGGGGGCAGTGTGAGCATGGGTTCAGGGCTCCCTGCCCTGCTGGCCTCTTGGGGCCCCTGGCCCAGTGGACAAGACCTGGTGTGGGAGCGAGGGGTGGGGAGGCTTGGTGCCACCACCAGGAACCCTGTGCTGCCATGGTGAGGCATGTTCTGCCCACCCAGCAGCAGTGGGGTTACAAGTCCATGCTGCCACCCCTACTACTGCCAGGTGGGCAGGGGATGCCTCGCTCTAGTGGTGAGGGGCTCTCAGTGGTGGCAGCAAGCTTCCCTACCTCGCTTTGCCCTGCCCTGCTGTACCAGGTCCCATGTGCTGGGCTGCAGAGGCCCCAGGGGGAGGGCAGTAGGGTGGGGAACCCTGAGCCCACAATGGGCAGCCTATATCCATCCCTGATCCATGCACAAATCTGGGGGGCACGTGCCTCCCATGCCTTTTCGTGGGAGTGTGCTTAGTGGTAGGGAGCCAGCCCCCCTGCCACCCTCTGGACAAGCTGCCCCTGGCTCTGTCCTGCTCCCTGCCTGCGTCCTGCGGCTGTGCATTTGGGCCCCAAGCCTCACATACCACCCTGGCTGGGCAGCATTCCCAACCCTGCCCAACTCCTTCCCTCTCTCACAGTGGGGGCCTCAATCCTCCCCTCCCTCCTCAGACTTACGTGCTGTGAACTGTGGGAGTTTCTTTCTATGTTGCCTGGCTGCCATGTGCATGTGATTGTATACACATGCATGTGGCGCTCCCTGCCTTATCACCCTTTTCTGCTCCCCACAGCCCCTTGCAGGCTGGATTTCTGGTAGCCTGCAAAAGAAAACCCCGTTTCCCACGGTTTTCTCCTTAAAATGAAAAAATCCAGGTTTTACCATGTTTTTCTGTGGTGAACAGAAAACCCAGGTCCCTGCTCATAAGTAATGTTACCAAGGTCTTCAATCATTTTTGTCACTCTGTTGGACTCTTTCATATCTGTCTGCATATTTCTTGAAGCATGGGGTTCAAAACTGGACACAGTACTCCAGGGGAGGCCTCACCAGTGCCAAATAAGGTGGAAGAATTGCTTATCTTGATCTGCAAGAGATCCTGTTTTGTTAATACAACCCAGTATGTTGCTGGCTCTTCTTTGCAACAAGTGCTCACTGTTTACTCACTGTGGCTGGGTAGGGGTGAATAACAAAATCTCTCTCCCTGGGACTTTCCTGCCACGCTTTGGAATGATGGAAGAATAAGAAGTTAATTCCCCAAAGAGAGAGAGTGTAGTAAATTGCCCCAGAAGCAGGATAAAAGAAGATTGCTTTATTAGTAACTTCCCCACAGGCTGTGGAGCACCCTGGCTGTTCTCATAGCTCATGGGATCCCTTTTCTCCACCACTGTGCAGCCCACTCCCACAAGTCAGCTCCACTCCAGTCCCACTCTTTTTTCTCTTTCCTGCGGTACCAGCAGATCCTTTCTCTGTGGGACCTTCTCTCAACCAGTAAGTTTCTCCTCTCTTCCTCACCTCCTTATTTCACTGGTCACCGTGGTTACCTACACCCAGTTGGCTGGTCTTTATCCCCAAGCTGCTCCAGCGCTGGCTTGGCTTCCCTGCTGAATTTCTCCATGCTGTGCCTCAGGGGGCAAAGGAAACCCCCTTGCTGTGGACTTAAGTAGCTGTCGGCTCCTAATCAGTTGATATTCACCCCAGGTGCATCCCCTTCCCAACTGTGTTTATTAAGTAATTAACTTTGCCCTGTCCCTGGCCTGACTACTTGCAACTTAGTAACATCAAAGGAACAGAGCTGTCTTTGCCTTGTTACACTAATATTCAGTTTATGATGTTTTGTAACCCTCAGGCCCTTCTCTTCAGTACTGCAGGCTAGCCAGTCATTCCTCAGTCTTTTTGTGTATGCAATTTTTCTGTCCCAGAAGCAGGACTATGCACCTCCCCTTGCTGAATTTCACTCACTTGATTTCAGACCATTTCTCCAGTCTATCCCCGGTTATTCTGGATCCTAGCTGTATCCTTCAGTGTCTGAATCTCCACCCAACTTGGTACCATCTGCAGATTTGCTAAGAGTGCACTCTGTGCCATCCTACCAATCATTAATGATGTTGAACAATACAGGATGTAGGACAGACCTCTGGGGAGTCTCACTTAATACCTTCTCCCAGCTAGACTTTAGTTTAGTTTATTGCTGACTACTCAGTGAGCATGATAATCCAACCAGTTATACAATTTACAGTGCTTTCATCTCATCTGTATTTCCTCACTCAAAACCCTGGCTAAAGTCTAAATATATTACATTTGCTTCATCTACAGAGCCTGTGC